ATATAAGTATGTGACCGTATTATCTTACCGGGCTCTCCAGGCTCTCCAGGTTCAAGTGGCTCATCGGGTGCATTCTCGCCTGGTGGTCCGTTTGGTCCAGGAGGTCCCATCTCTCCAGGTTGTCCATCGGGTCCTTTTGGTCCAGGTTCTCCTGGTGGTCCGTCCATTCCTGGAGCTCCAGCTGGTCCGTCTGGTCCAGGCTCTCCCATTGGTCCTGGTGGTCCTGGTGGGCCGGGTGGTCCAGCTGGGCAGGGTTTGCATGGTGGTGGAGTGATAGGCTCGCAAGGTTGTGCTGGTGGTCGTCCTGGGTTACCGGGAAGACCAGGTGCTCCTGGCTTTCCGGGTTTACCTGGTCGTCCTTTTGGTCCCTTAGGTCCAGGTGGACCTCGGATACAGCAACCAGCACACTGGTCATTCGTTTGACGTGCCGTTCTGTTGTGTGCTGGCAGAGGGTTCTGGCCCAAAAGGTCTACGTCGGTCCACGTTTGCTTCGCCGATTGCTGAAATACAAAACCGTATACTACTTCTTACAAATGTTGTTATCGAATAACACTTGCACACTACCGAAACTCAAATTATCTTCAATCAACAGTCATAATGCCTTCAACAACCATAACTTTCGCTAATTTCTACCAATCTTCAAGTTAACATTCATACATCCCTTTCATTCATTTCATCACCCTTATTCAACTGCCTCTCAAAGTGTGCTCAAAATCGCTCCTCAAATTGCCACTGAATTCACGTCCTCTCCAGTCAACAAATTGGATCTTGCTCATCCAAAACCGCCTTATATTAAATGCAAAGAAACTGATCTAATGCTGATGATCATCTATCACTTTATCAATTGCATGAACAACAAGTAAATTGTATCGAAGTCATATCGAAATTCTTTTGTTCAAATCAATTCGAATCTTTTGGCTCGTAATAAATGAGCAATAACAGCAATAATAATAAAGACTCGCGTAATAATAGCAATGATCCATACAGTTCATGTTATTGATGGTGATAATTAGCGAAAATAGTAATAGTGATCAGAGTAGAAAGAATTACAAGCATTGATAAGAATGATAAAAAAAGTGATAAGAATGTGGTACCTTGCAGAAAGTGATCTCAGTGTGCATTTGTCGCCTAACATGATGAATGTAGTTGTACACCATCGGCAAGGTGATACATACGGATAGAACAGCCACAACCGAGAAGGTGATTGCTGCATAAGCAACAAACTTATAAGCTGTTATCCTATTTTGGACGTCCATCATCCCGAAACTGCGTTTCTAATTTGATCGCAGAATAGAGAGTGTGATTGAAACCACTCGAGTTGTCACTTTTATACTCGTCTTTTGTTGTGCTCGAAGCAATAAGATGGAATGCAATAAGGCGTAATAGAACAACGCCTTGCTGTTCAGATTTTCTTTGGAGAGGAAGAAATTGGTTTGTTTCAACTGTGTGTATGTATGTGTGTGTTTGTGTATTTTTTTTGGTTTGCATTTGCTGTTATTGCATGAGAGTTTTTAGTTAGTTGGTTGCATAATTGCATGATCTTCGTTGACTGTAGCACCTTCTTCACTCACATTATTATTAGTATCATTATTGCATTAGCACAAGTATTTCTTGATTCATTCTCTCCTTCTCGTTGCTCCTTGTTGAATACGTCTAGCAACTCATGCACTGCTTCTTGTGTCACATGAAAATAACACTAACTCGCCAAGCTGATGACACTCTCTTTACAAGTTTTCTAAAAGATTTTTCTTCTCCAGCATACTTTTGTCAACGCGTTTTCTTCAGTTCCTTCAGAATTGCGATGGTATTTTTTTCATCACAATCATTCAATTATTAGCATAATCACCTACTTCGTCGTCATTTTTATCATCAAGTTTCTTTTTTGTTTGCTTGAAAATTATCATTGTGAGCATAACAAATGCCTGTGTCACTTATTCATTAACTATATTTAGAAGAATGACATGAAACACATGACGACTGGAGTATAGTGGCGCAGCAGCCTAGATTTCGTCCAAAAGAGGGGGTGCATTTTTCTGCGTTTAAATTTTTCTCTTCCGTTCCCCTCCTCCCCCCCCCTTCTGTTCTTTCTGTTCCTCAGTCATTTTTGCACTTGCTTCTCATCGTTGCTCTGCATTTCTCGTTCTGTTTCCGTCTTCTTTTTTTTTCTCCTCACTTCCAAATTGGGTACAGCACCACTTCTGATAGACACACCTGATATATTTATTTGTACACATACCTGATCTGTAGCTGTTGCGAAAACCAGCAGCA